TGGAGAAACAAACCATTTCAATTAAGTTAAACGATATAAACAGGAAACAAATGGCACAAAATTAATATTCCATTAGGATTTATTATGTTTTGGTAAAGTCTTTACGAGAACGCAATAACTGAGTGATTTCATTTTAATTCATATTAAACAATTGCCAGTGAACCATGAACTTCAAATGACCGCATACAACATTGTTTTGACACTGCAAACATTGAAACACTTTATATATCTTTCTCTTTATAGATACGTTTATGTTGCTTTAATCAAACAGATGAGAGTAGATAACGCCCCAATATTAAACAGATAACAATTAAATAGCGCATTGATATCAGCTAAAGATTTTTCCATATAGATTTGTCTTCGAGTTTTGAATAAATAAAGGCAACAGTAGTATACCGCTGTTCGAAATTCATAAATCGATTGAGAAAAAACAAATCCGGGTTACAAACTAAAACTGAGGGGAACACATCAAATATAAGAGGAGAACAAAGACACAACAGAAACACTTAAATGTAACACACACAGAAACGAACTATAAGATAACAATAGCCATTTTCCTGACTTGGTACAGGACATTTTAAGAAAAAATAGTGGATTAAACCTGGTTTTAAAGCTAGTTAAACCTCTCACTTGTATGACAGTCGCATCAAATTCCTTTAAATTGAACGTTTCTCTATCTTATGTACCTTATGGTTATTTTCTATATATCTACAGCTCATAAAATGGTTAAAATCAAATCGACACTCTAAGGTCGTTGTCTCCCCTGTGTTTTGAATATTTGGTTTTGAACAGAACCCAAAACTTGTCATTGATTTGGACATTATTTGTATTGAAGTGCTACTGATCAGTCTGAATAAAACGAAACTCGGGTATTGCGTACTTAATTAGAAGTTTACTATCATATATGACTGGATCAGTACCTCTGTGAATGTTTTATGTCAAGTTTTCTCAATACTAGTATTTAATTTGGCTTTCTAACTGCTTTGATTTGTGTGACACTGATGCGTCTGTCTTATGTAGAAGAACATGCGTCTGGCCTTATACATTGTAGGCCAGGTATCTTTGACGAGGTTTTACAACCACTGGATAGATGTCACTGGAAGTTAACGTTTAACACCTATGGCATCACCAGCCCAGTATTTAGCACCTCTGTGTGGACATAGAATACCAATATTACGGTCAATTTTTGTAAATATTTCTGATTTCAAGTTTTAAATATTTTGAAAGACTTATGCTTTTCTTCCTCCAGGCATAAATGGTATTCATCCAAAACAAAGGGTCAATCGGCTATTGTCAAGGACGTAACTACTCCGAAAAATAAGTGTCCCTATAATCCTCTTCAAAAGATATCATGAAAATAATCTGTGTTTAGTCTTCAACTCCTCTTTGTACTACAAATATTCAGAAAAGTTTATTTAAATTCGACTTTCTGAAACATAAGATTGCAATGACCACTTGCAACATTTCTTCACTTCTAAATTGAATAGTGAAAACTGTAAAACCTGTGGTATAATCATTAATGATACCTGTTTTCAAAGTAACTTTGCCACCAATGTGACGAAACATGTAGTACATGAATCCGAACGGTAATGCCACTAATATTGTATACGAAATTGAATGTACTCTTTGTGGAATTATATTTTTCGGTGAAACACGGCAAAGATTTAACGAAAGAAATATTGATCACCGGTCAACTGATAATGGTCCCGATTACAATATGTTTCTTTATAAACACATTAATTAGCCAGGCAATTTATTGTATCTATAAAAGTCAATATCATTGATAAACTATATCATTCAACACATGACCCCATATGGAGTACATAATATCGCTTAGATAGAGAGGATTTCTGGATTCGAGAATTGGGAACAGCGGTTTTTACGGATGTACCGACAAAATTGATGGTGTGGTTATTTTGTCTTATCCAAGGTGTAGTATAACAAACTAACTAGAATTATTTTACGCCTCTGTTCAACGCAATAGAAGTCATGGTCAACTGTTTCCGTACCATTATCAAAGCTCAATTCACTGCTTTTAGAGGCCCCCAAAAAACTTCCGTTTTTGTTTAAAATTCTGTTAATAACTGATTGGTTGCAACAATTGTGGACATTGCTAACCACAGGATATTCCTACTTTTAGAAATAAGGAAAAACGTTCTTTTTAATGTTGTTTTCACTAATAATGGTTTTGATCCTATCAATATTAGCAATATATATTATACCAGAAAATCTGTGCAGAAAACATTTCCTGATAACGTCAAAGATGAAACTACATTTGTCATTGCATATGCCTTCACTAAACCAATTTTATCCACCATTTCAACCACAGGAGGGTATAATGTAAAATCCAAACCTCTCTTTTGCTAAAATCCAAACCTCTCTTTTGCTATTGTTTATCGTCTCCATACACATACAGTTCCGCTGGTCATGTTATTACCAAAGACCTTGGCATTGTTAACAATGAACAACTCAAAGAGTTGTAAGCAAAAGACCAGAAATATCGAATTCTCCGCTTATCAACTGGAAGAAGAATTTTAGGTTGCATATGGATGCAGTTGAGGACTATGTCAGAAAATTGATAAAGCGCGATCCAGATGAACCAAAATTGGACACTTTATTTAAATAAATCAAAACTGTTCGGTCAGAAGCGCATTCGTCGGGTCGTCAAGATGTTCGATTAAACATCTTGCTGAAGTTCTTACCACTATTCTTTATACAGTGAGAGATGGTCTTCTGAAACATTGTGATGAGGCAATTTCAACAAGCGTGTCGATCAGATGTGGTTTCTTTAATATTCTTAACATCTAATGTAAAATCTTCAATCACATTCTATACAATGTCGCAGTAATATCAAAACTTTAGATTTATCTACGTTTTACACTACTATTCCCCATGCACAAATGAATGGTCGAATAGAACGCCTTATTAAACAGAGTTTTTTCTATAGAAATGAAACATCGTAGATAAAAATTTCTTGTTTCAGGTTGTGAAGAACCGCATTGATTTACAAGATATCATCAAAATGCTAGACTTTTTGATCGACAACATATTTGTTGAGTTTATCGGATTGATATTTCAACAGACAATCGATATTCCAATTGGTACTAATAGTGCACCTTTATTGGACGACTTGTTGTTAGTCATATAAAGAAGATTTCATTCTGAACTTTCTCAAAGACAGAAAGAAACATTTTTTTTCAAAATTCTATATAATTCCACTATGAGATATATTGGTGATGTCCTGTCACTCGAAAACACACAATTTCAGTGAGTGTTTGCATATCATGAATCCAAGTTAGATTTAGATTAAGGATACTGCCAAAACTAGAGTGTCTGCTTCATACCATAATCTTTTCTCGACGACTTTAAACTAGAATCTTTGACAGATGTGTGGATTTCAACTTTCCGATTGTAAACTTCCCATTACTTAGTAATATACCCGCTGTCCCATCTCATGGCGTTTACATATCTCAATTAATACGTTACACTCGTGCATGTTCATACTATAAGGACTTCATTAGAAGGGATGTGCTCCTTACACAAAAGCTGCACCCACAGAGTAATGAGGACGAACAACTGAAATTGACACTGCATTTTTTATAGTCACTACCACGAAGCGGTTGATTGATATGCTATGTCTGTGTCTTAACTCATTCGCGACTTGTATTGCAGTCTTAGATCTTTAGATACCAGAATAGCCCTCTAATCTGTAATTTTATCGAGTGTGTCCTTTTTCCGATTGTTACATTTTAAAAGTGTGGATTCGCATGGCAGTTGATGCATGCAAAGTATGAGAATTTACCCAGTCGACGCTCCCGGTCCAACTCCATTTAGAGTTCATACAAATTCCTTAGTTTTTGTTTGTTACCTTGATTTGTCTTCTTAATTGATTTATAAGAATTTAACATCGGTTACCTACTAAGCTTATCCATATTTGGTAAACCGTTTCTGTTTACAATGCTCTTCAACTTCGTATTTGATTTAACTTGGCAACTGATCCAATTCGAGCGCTAGTGATGAGTGTGATGTTGATTAAAGCGTCTGGCATCACAAATTGTAGGCCTCGTATCTTTAATGAGCTTTTATAACCTCTGTATAAATGTCACTGCTGATGGACGTTTCACCACCCTATCAAAGGCATCACCAACCATCTAGTCATCACTTCTGTGTCGACATGAAACATCAATAATGCTGTTTATTCCTGTAAATATTCTGTTTACAAGATTTAAACTATTCGAAACACTAAGGTTGTCTACCCGCAGGCATAGATGGCCTCAGTCATATTTGGCACAACTAATAGAGTTGTTTTGGGTTTTCAATGCTTTTTAACTTCGAATTTTATTTGGCCTATTAGCTGATTTGATTTAAACGCTACTGATGAGCTTGATAGAGATTAAACTTGCGTCTTCAGTAACAAATCGTAAGCCTGGTCTCTCTGATGGATTGTTATACCCAGCCAAGTAATCGACACTTATGTTCTAATTTATTAGTCTACTTTTGTCATTGCTTTAAGAAGGGAAGTTAAATTTGATAAATTGTCAGAGTACACATTCATCGTCTGATTTTGATCGTTTAGCAGTGGTTTATTTATTGTTAATATGCTTTGATACATATTAAATACAATCAACACATCATCAAATCATTTCTTCTGGTACATGCTTTTGGCAAACTCGTCCGAAGTTACCGATTGATTGAATACCTCTTTTAATATTGTTAAATCGAACTCGAGTGATGAGAGGTTAATTAAAATTTAAAGGATTGAAATTCTTTTCTTATGTTTCTTTAATATAAAATGTTCTAAATCTTATGCATTTTCACTAACTTCTGCCAATTAATAACAAATCAATTGTCAATAATTATGTAACTCACATTTGATTAACTTTACGTATTTATCAGAATTTGGCAATAAATTCATTAGAGAAATAACGATTATGATTTGGTTCACACGCCGGGTATATTAAAGTTCTGTGATCGATGTTTGTTGACAATTGGCGTGATTACATGCTAACTATTCACAGATATTAGACAGGCGTAATCAGATTGATTGATGGACGATATAAAATGAGTTCAAACCTAATCATATATTTCTTGGAACTACAAACAGCTTTCTGACAAACAAGCGAGGTAAGATTTAAAATACTGTAACAACAAAATAAATAAGACCATTTTTTAAAGAATTTAATTTTTTCCGAAAAGGAAAATAATATTTCGCATAGATATGTATTTTTTTATCATCCTGTTTCGAAAAAAATCAAGAAGTGTTCATGAAACGCAAACACTATAAAATATAAGAAATCATTCAACTTCATAAGACTTGCAAATGCCATTGTAGAGTATATTGTATTGTATGATTGCGAGATTTTGATGTAGTTGTATGAATATATAATTAATTAGTTTAAAAAGAAAATGATAGTCAAATCTTCAAATCCTCAAATTTCATAGAATCAATATTTCAGGATACAGTGTAAGGGTATGTGTGTGTTTGTTAATAAAGATGGTGCTAATAATAAATGTAAAAAAGGTTTTACCATTCTAAGATGTTCAATTATGCTGTCAGGGAATATTTCACTTAAGAAAAAGTTATGAAAATATTTAGTAAATGATTTCAGATACCACAGGTGCGAAAAAGAGATGCGAAAGATGATCAAAGGGACATTCAAACTCATAAGTCGAAAATAAACTGACAACGCCATGGCTTAAAAAAAAGACCAACAGACAAACAATAGTACACAAAACACAACATAGAAAACTAAAGACTGAGCAACACGAACCCCACCAAAAACTGGAGGTGATCTCAGGTGCTCCGGAAGGGTAAGCAGATCCTGCTCCACATGTGGCACTCGTCGTGTTGCTCATGTTAGTACAAACCCAGTAATAAGTCTAATTCGGAAGGTCACATTCGGGATAAGGGGAGCGAAGATGTAATTTATGAGATGAACATATAGCAGACGAATTTTACTGTCTATTTATATGTTAGCCTCTTCAATTGGTAAACATTGGAGACTAAAATATTCCAAATTATTATACGAAGTATCCAGGTAACAAAAATTAGCAGACCTGTTATCTAATTGTATGTTCTTGTTATCATATTTCATGTTTATTATTGTATATTTACCTTCTGCTACACATACATATGTTTGAACGTTTATGTATCACAAAATCTTGTGCTAAAAATATTGAAATTCCTTATACTAGTAATTAACTATTAATAATATTCCAAATTTGCATTTCCTTCTTTTGATGATTAAGTTTGGATAGGTATTTTAGAATTATGTAATATTTACTCGAACATTTAACAAATAATGCTTTCGTAATTTTTTTTGTAATAACCACTTTTGATATCAACTGATAATGGAATATATGAGAAAGACAATATTCTATTTGCACTTTGAGTAAAGTTTTCTATTTAGTTAAGGTAATAGTATTTTCCTATGTGTGATACTTACGCGAAGAAAATTTTTAAAGTGTATAAAAATGCTATATATAATTGAATTTGACAATGTTGTTTTATTGGTTAGTTTAGCCAGTGCAGATACAATGTCAATACGTGCAAGTTCAATTCATCGAATAAAGCAAGCATAATTTGTTATTAAACCTTAACATGAAATTAATATATTTCAACGTATAATTTTAATTCCTTTCGTGTTTTTATAGTGATATTTAATTAACGTCTTTACAGTAAGAGATTGCATTCGTTCATTATGCAATACCAATGTATCTAGTGCATATGATAAGAGTTCTATCTTTAGAAATCTGTATACTTAAATTTGAATTATACTTTTAATTTATCGATATAAAAATCAACAATATTTATTAATATATTGATGGAATGAAGTAATCCCATTCATCATTCTTTACATATATATAAATCTAAGATTATGTATTTTTTTTATTGAATCTTGTTCGTTGTTTATTCGTATTTCGATCCAAATCTGATTGATAACTCGGTCTTCATTATTATTCTTTTGATTTAAGAAATCGGACACTTTCCAAATGTGTCACCTCGGTAATATTGCAAAGACACCGTCTCTTTTCATCAGACCCTGATCATATCTTATATTTGAAAAAAGAAGAAAGAGGGAGATACCAAACTATAAGTCTAATTGAAACAGAGATCACTATGACCCCCAAAAGATACAAAAAGACAAACAAGTCCACACAACAGAGGCAGAAGACTAAAGATTAAAACGGCACTGCATTTCCTGTTCCACTAATGACTTCCGACGCGTTACATAATGTACCTTAAACTGCATAGAATAGTCATATTATCATTTGGTATCGCGTCGTATAATACAATAATGGTGAGTGTCGCTTGGCCAACGATAAGACTTCACTGTTTGACAATATTTTACTTTAGTGATTTAATTCATTTCCATAAGATAAGGGAGAATTAATGACAGCGGAACTGTTTAATGAAGTGAATGAACTTTACTGGCTAGTGTGTCTGATTTATATTTTTATACTTTCCAATGAGATAATTAGAAAAACAAGGAATGTAACCTCCAGTGGTGCTAACTAATATATGCAGCGGCAGAACACATTAATTTATAGAACTTTTGTTTATGGAAGACCAAACCTTGTTCTAGTAAATCCGTGTATTCTGCAGAATAAGCAAATAGTTTGCATTTCATTATTGTCATTTTAGTAAATATAAAAATAGGAACTTCCCACTTTTTTCAGTTTCTCAGTTGCTTGTAGATGCATTCACATTTTTTGTTTATTATGTTATACACTTTTACAACGGATTGAAAAATAATTACAATCTGTCTGACTTGAATATAGTTTTGGATGTTTTATGAAGCCAAAGTGTTTAGGACAACTCTGCATGTAACATTTACCAAATGCATAAACTATCAGCACCAGTACATACTCTAACTCTTAACTTCACCGAATGTGAAAGTTTGAATGTTAATACGGTTTCTATAACAAAGGAAAGACAAGACTGGCACCGATAAAAACAGATAACTAAAGATAAAACAACATAAATTCCTTTCAAAAAATCTAGAGAAGTGCTCCAAAAGTGGAGGAAGTACCCGCCGGCAAGTAAAATTAAATTGGTGGTCATTCCAATTCGATGATGTCATACATGAGGAAAAGAGGACCAAATTTTTGCCAGAGTGGAACATACAAGTGATCATCAATACTTGTGTTAAGTTGTATCGCCATTGTATATTTCTTTTGCATCAGTACTAGTAGACGTTTTTGAAATATTTGAATCGAGACTGCAATTTTGTATGCAGAAAGGCTAAGAATTCTGGTTTTACATAGAGACTTTACATTGATCATTCTAATTTGATTAGCAATTCAAAAGAAAGATAACAAGTTCTTTAATGCTTCTATTTCGTAAATCATCAGGTAGACGTGCATATCTTTCAATTCTTCTAAGTTATCAAAGAAAAATAAAAATAAGAAGACACAAACAAACATAACACAATACATTAACCAATTCCAAATAAATGTTTGAATTATCGTTTGAAAAGCATGGTGAGGTGCAAAAACGGTGTTATCAATCAAATTAAAAAGAGAACCAAAAATTGCATGTTAAGTTTTGTGATAATACTTTCCGCTGACCATAGAAGATATGCCTAAAATATCGAATATTTGACTTTAACATTAAATAAAAATATACTATATAATTCTAATTCATTTCGTGTCTTCATTAGGATATCTTATTAATATCTTTAATGTTTGGTATGTCAAGCGTTGAACATGAAATCGGATCAACTGGCATCTTTTAAATATACACTTTCAAAAGAGAGGCGGAAGATACCAAAGGGTTATTAAAAGTCATCAGTCGAAAACAAACTGACAATGCAATGGCAAAAAAACAAAAAACAACGAAAAGACAAACAACAGTAGACAAAACACAACATAAAAAACTAAAGACTGAGAAACTTAATCTTAAACAAGCAAAATAGTTCAGTCTAGTGAAACATTGAAATGTTTGAGTCAGTGAAGAATTAAAATAAGCCGTGTTATCACTTAAGTATGTTGTCTGTTTGTCAATATTTTTGAAAGAATTAAGCGTTTTACGACCACTGACCAATATATCAAAAGAGGTGAACCTTTCATTTAAAATACTGCTTCCGCCACTTCCAATTGAATAAGCAAAACTATGCTATAATATGTATTATACTTATAAGGCAATCTCAATGGTTCGACAGACGTGAAACAATGAGTTAGAATAAATATTCAAATCAAAGATCTAAATAATATGCACCAACGCACAAGACCAGAGAGAGATTTTAATGAAAAAGTATAAATTCATGACTGAAAATATAAGAAATGTGCCTATCTCTTCTCGCTACATATGTTTCATCTATGGGGTAATTTATTTCTTTTAATTCTAACTTGCGTCATTTACGATTTCTTGTGTTTCCTAACATACTTTAAGTTTTATCATTTCAGAGGTGCCGTAAATTTAGTACCGTTAATGTTTTTAAAAGAATTTGGCTATAATACTTAACTGTAAGATGAAGTTTGAGATTATTTCATTCAGGTCTAAATATTTAGGTATTGTTAACTCATTTCTCTGACGTCAGTCTATTGTTCTAACTGCAGATTATTTTTTAAGAATCCATTGGCCACTGTGTTCGTTAACTCAAGATAACGTATATATAATATCACTTTTAACTTACAATATTTAACCTCTCAAAAAGGAGTATCATATAAAGGGTTCGATCTTGCGCGTATTTTCATCGTGAATTATTAGTTTTTAGTCTATGCATCATACCACTAGATCACAAGTGCTGCCATATATCATTATTCAAATATACTCTTAAAGCGCTTACTTGTCAATACATGCCAACAAACGGGATTTCTGTCTCATTGATAATTAGCGTTTGCAAATATAAACTTGGTATGCTCATGTTCTTTTCAATTGTTAGTTGATTTGTTTTATTTTGGGTGCATTTTTTTTTTACGGTAGGATAATAATTTTCGACATTTGGACGTTCTTGAGGATAATCATATAGCAATTTCAAAATACAGAATGACAAAGATACAAGAGAAAAAACGAATCAAACATTTTCTTTAAAATCATAAAAAAGAGTTTATTCCGGATGTCAGGTTTGAACATTGTTCAATTTTCAACATCGTTGTGATGAACTGAACCTTTATACGAT